AACCTCAGTCAAGCACTATCCCAGTCCCAAACTTCAGGCTAATAATCTTTCGAAAAACTAAACAAGCATATTTGATTTATTATTTTTCAACACCTTACATCAAACAGAGAGCTGCTGAATAACAACTTGATCTATACTAGTAGTATTATACGGAAAGTATATCGAATACATCACTGATTATGACTTTTTATTAACAGAAATTGCAAGAATAATGATTACATGAAAATCAAAGGTGTTCAAAGAAGGACCATTAAATCTCTTTTGGGGTATTCCGACAATCAAAATTATCACCTAAGATATTATCAAATCAAATCAAAACTTCTCTGTCTCAGAGGCATTATGTTAAACCTCGTAACTGTATCCAGGTCTTTAAATAGTAATTAGGTCAACCAACAATCATCAAGCACACGGAAATCGGATCAATTTATCAACTAGTCAGGAAAACTATGCTCAAGCGTAGGAACAAAAAGTAAACCACTGAGAGATACTGCTAAAACAAAGAATTAAACAATGACAAGAATACGGCCAACAAGGACCAATCAACATCGAAGTCCACAGGACAAACTGTGAAACACATATGCCACCAATAACAGATATGAAACGGGTGACTTCGTCGTTCACCATCATTAAACCCTCAGATATTAAAGGGGGATATAAAGTTGCAGTCTCCAGAGGTCCCCAACTTTACATGGATCTACTCCCAACCATCAGTTGCATGTCGCAACACAACCTTCATAAAGCGCGCAAACTGTGATACTGACAATACGATTCTTACAAAAACCATATACACTTATATCTTATAAAATATCAACCCAGCTGGGTAATTTACTACAGTGAACATTGTATCTTTTTTAACAATTTGATCTTGTATGTAAACGAGCATGCTTCATATAACAAACTGTTATTTGGGAATACATTTTTATTATTATTAAAAAGAAACAAAAATAAACTTACCAATCTGGTACGATTTGATGGTAGAACAAGATTTTATGTATTGTCAATTTAGAGTTATATAATAAAAGTCCTAATTCACTGAGAACAGAAGAATGGGTTTGAGCAAACGCACGTTAAGGTAAACCTATTTTTGCTGAATGTTTGGATTGAACTTCTGTTTACTGCTTTGGATTGAAAACGCATATTTTGTTCATGGTCACTTAAATTCGAGAAAAGGATACTAACTTCTGCCCCTGTGTCAACGAGAACGAGTATCTTGGTTTTCACACTAGTGATGTGTAGCGGTAAATTAAACCGAAGAATCAATAGCTCTGTAAGTCTTCGACACTTGATGATGACCGGATTAGTTTGACTGGACCCACCTATATGATGGCGCTAAGTCATACATCCGCATCAGATCACGAGTGGGTATGCCGTGCTTCACATCTCCTACAACATCTACCCACTACTGATTATTTAGTTCCTGAATATATCGATATTCTATCAAATATATCTTCGAACCTCTGTAGTGGCATTGGACCATAACCACACTATCCTCAAAGCTGAATACGAGATTACTCGGAAAATAAGTATTCAATATTTAACGCGAAGAAATACCTAACGATGGAGAAGGCGCGAATAATGAATTGAATAGACTAGAGTTGATCGAACGGCATGGCTCGGTCATGCAGGCGTGGTCTCTGCTGAATGTTACCTTATATCTTCTTTTCATATTAAATATATTGTTCTTTCTCTAGCCTAACCTTGTTCTACATCATGTAATGGTAATTGATACGATACAGTGAGTTGGTGTAGTCGATGGTGTGACTTCCACGTAAGATCTTATAGATTAGGCAGTCATATCATGACAAATCTACAAATTTAGGATTAGGTCTATTATTAGAGCAGTACTAATATCATAGTAGACCATAAATACTACATTGGTGAGCCCAACTAAAGAAACGCAACCTATTATTGTTAATCCTTATTTCCACCTTAACCTTCTCAATCGGTTTTTATTTTTGTAAACCCAGTATTCTAATAGTCCTTTGATTAATGGTCAGGATATCTTCATAAAGCATTGTCATGACTTGACAATCACGTAATATGATTGATAAAATTAATGAAACTATTAACAAATAGGTCAGCAAATTGACTTATGATTATAACTAGTGTTGTTTTCCTTTTATCTTCATTCACTACAGGCGATTACAGTATGTTTATCTATCAGTTGCTCATTCAGTAAATATCTCAGAACCTTGTCAGTCTAATTGATGGTTTAGCGACACAATCATGCATGCAAATAATCAGTATAAGCAGTCGAGCAAATATCCTGCAAACTGAAAACATCAATGTCGAATTTACCCCAACACTGACTAAGGTTCAAGCTATTATCATAGGCATGAGTTGGGAGTGCACTCCCCTTGGTTACAACTTATGTTCTCCCTGATAATCACATGAGCATCACTCACTATTAATCATCTTGTAAAAAAATTATTTAGCTAAATACATCTTGCAGCACATCACTTAGTAATATGACACATGGGCTTAGCTGATTTTAATAACTTATAACCACTATATCTCAATTAAGTCGTATTCTGCCTTCATACGTGCAACTAACTTGTATGTCCAATCAGCCGGCAAGTATAAATATAAATAAATAGTCTGCCACAGATCAGAACATTGAGTCTAGAGCATGTCTCTTACGAATACACTCATGTTTAACGATTTGTTCTTAGCTATCTGTCCAAAACTCATATAATTTTCACTCATGTATTTAAATTTTGTTTTGATAACCATTCATGTGTATTAGTAGTATTACTAAATTCTATCACGGTCAGGTAAACATGGGGTTGAAAAAATCTCCCCGTAACTAAATAAACCGTATCAAACTAACTGGAACACTAGTTGGAATTCTTCTCCACGGTAATGCTTTTGTTCCTTCAGTTAGCCTACTAATACAGATGCAATTGGAAATCGACTCATATGGACAACTTACCGGCATAATCGTTATTTGATTTCATAAGTTAGACTAAAAGTGGTACTAATATTAATATTTCTACAATATTCATAACTTTAATATTTCTAAACACAAAATACATACTACCTATACGTTAAGTTGTCAACCAACGGCTATTACACACGCATCGTTTTATTATTACTATTATTGTAATCCCAATTTTTTTATTGCTCAAATAATCACTCAAATTTTCATTGTAAGCGTTTTAAGCATGAAGGCAGATATTTTAAAATTATTACATGTATTTCCCGACCAGATGCTGCCGTCTTTTTGATTTATCTTTCAGCTTGTCATCACCCGGAGGATTCTTATTATCCTTGGTAACCTCCGGCGCGCGACGACCCCATCCAATTTGGTATCGAACCAACACCACGTTGATTCTGGTGGGAGAGTAGTGTAGTGGCATTGGACCATAACCACACTATCCTCAAAGCTGAATACGAGATTACTCGGAAAATAGGTATTCAATATTTAACGCGAAGAAATACCTAACGATGGAGAAGGCGCGAATAATGAATTGAATAGACTAGAGTTGATCGAACGGCATGGCTCGGCCTTGCAGGCGTGGTCTCTGCTGAATGTTACCTTATATCTTCTTTTCATATTAAATATATTGTTCTTTCTCTAGCCTAACCTTGTTCCACATCATGTAATGGTAATTGATACGATACAGTGAGTTGGTGTAGTCGATGGTGTGACTTCCACGTAAGATCTTATAGATTAGGCAGTTATATCATGACAAATCTACAAATTTAGGATTAGGTCTATTATTAGAGCAGTACTAATATCATAGTAGACCATAAATACTACACCTCTTCACTTCTGGCTCCTGAGTCGACTGAGTTGGGATACTTTGGTTATAAAGGTGTTAATGGTCAAGGCGTTATCCCACTCCGGATAACTATGGCATCTTCAAATGTATAACAGACGGGAATGATCAACATGTTCATTAGTTGTCCATGTGTATGGATAAAGATGTTAATAAGGAGTTCGGTCGTATCGGCAATCGATCTAGGTTTGGGAAAACTTGAGGGAGTTGCTATGGTTAAGGAAATAATTACCGTCGGTGTTGTGACAACAACAGGTTTTGGAATATCTGTTTCTTTGAAAACAGAACCTTAACACGATGAACTCCTCCGAAGAACTGCAGAATGTTGTCGACTATTTCACGGAGAAAAATCGATAGTCAATATATTGAATGACTTAATGTTTCTCTCTAACGGATGACATTAGCTCATCAACTTTATTACTTTAAAATGAAATAAGAGCAGCTTTAACTAGTTTTTCTAGGCTAAACAGGAAGAACTGTTTTAATGGGGCTTTGATCGGTTTATTAACCAATGATTTATCACAGTCGTAATACCATTTATACTTCCAAGATGTTCATCTGACCTCTGCCGACTGGTTAGATCCCTATGTTTGAGGAAAGTTTTTGTAATGTCCTGTAGGCTATTAGTACGATATTAGTAGTTATGCTTGGTTTAAGTAACTCTTAGGCTGAAACTAATGTGCCCTTACAATTACAAGTAACTGTGAATTCACCTTAGTCACGCTGGGCTCATGGAACTTAGCTTACTAATGAAAAGACCTGTGTCACAAGGCTAGAACGGGGTAACATAAAAGGCAGAGAACGCTAAAGCTGTAATTTGTAGGTGTTGAAGTGTGCAGTTAAATCTTATCAAACTGAATATATGTCGGGAATTCATCAAAAATGTCCACTTTATGTATCAGCACACTCCTCTGAAGGCTTGACTCAGTGGAACCGATGGAGGTGACCACTTAGCCACACCGAGAGATTTGTCTTTGAAGCTAACAAACGACGGGAACAAGAATATTAACACTTTTTAACCGAAACCTCTTTCATAACCCAGACCCAATTTTAAAGGAGCTATTAAGTTGTTATTTCTTCCTAAAAGTTTTGGATATCAAAGTATTTGGCGATACCAAACCAGGAATTACAGTTCGTATAAAAAATCTTAAAAAAATGTAAAAGGCAGAATTGTAATAAATAAGATTGAAAAAATAAAATATAACAATAAAGACTATTATTTGTACGACTAAACGTATACTTTTGTTTTACATATCCAATTGAGTGGACTTGTACTACGATTAGTTTGGTTTGTGTATATCTGGTCACGTATTTGTCTATCAATTTACTTAAGTTGTTTAACACAAAATATGTCATCTGTATGCGATCGTTTGTTGAAGTCAGTGGCCCCAACAAATATCGAGCCTAAATCTCGTAGTAAAGTGACTGTTATAGGTGTTGGAATGGTTGGAATGGCTGCAGCATTCTCTACCATGCAAGTGGCAGGAGAACTCGCACTTATTGATGTCGTAGCAGATAAGGTTAAAGGAGAAGTTCTTGATCTACAGCATGGTCAACAGTTTATTGGCAGGTGCAAAATTGATGGAGGAACCGATTACAAATACTCTGCAAATTCAGATATTGTCGTCATCACTGCTGGTGCCAGACAAAACGAAGGAGAATCACGACTAAACCTTGTTCAGCGTAATGTTGATATATTCAAGAAAATAATACCAAATGTTGTCAAGTACAGTCCAAACTGCATCATAGTCGTCGTATCGAACCCTGTCGATATTTTGACATATGTTGCTCGAAGATTGAGTGGATTTGAAGCTCATAGAGTAATTGGGACCGGAACCATGCTTGACTCGGCGAGGTTTCGTTTTCTGTTAGGTGAGAAATTGGGAGTATCTGCCAATTCTGTCCATGGGTATGTAATTGGTGAACATGGTGACTCGAGTGTTGCTGTTTGGAGTAATGTGAATGTTGCTGGAGTTCGGCTTTCTTCTCTAAATCCAAAGATAGGAGGCAAAGATGATCCTGAAAATTTCGAGGAAATACACAAGCAAGTTGTTCAGAGTGCTTATGACATCATTCGCTTGAAAGGTTACACCTCATGGGCGATCGGGTTGACATGTCGATCACTTTGTAACGCACTATTAAATAACCTTCACACAGTTTATCCACTCTCTGTTCCTGTCAAAGGAATTCACGGAATTGAAGAGGATGTTTATTTGAGTTTACCATGTCTTGTTACTTCAGCTGGAATCAGTCATTTGATTCCGCTTGAACTTAGTGCGGATGAATTGAGTAAATTGAGAAAAAGTGCTGCCACTCTGAATGAAGTTATAACGAAAATCCAATGGTAAAGTCGTACGACTAACGGTTGCTGCACGCTCACGTATCAAAGAACACTAGCTTTTCCCCTTTTCATGTATGTTCTCTCTGTTTTTCAATTAGTAAGAATTAGTTATGAAGCATCTTAATTTTTGTTTATTGAAATTGTTCGCTTAATTTGTATCCAAAGAATTAAACATAAATTATTCGGTTAGAAATATGAACAGGTTTCCTTCTTTCCTGTTAGCTATAACCGTACATGATCTAAGGTTTAATAAACTGCAGTAGATTTTCCCGCTCACCCTTGGACATTATTTAGGAATGATTTACATTCCTGTCATCTTGCAAATCAGGTTTTTATCGTGAAGAGCCTTCACAAGCCATCCTTTGACCTACTATTTAGAGTCTCAGCATATATGACTTGAATATGTAATAATGTCACATTAAATAAGAATGTTGTGTTTCTTGTAGTCGTTTTCCGACAAAAATAGTTTACTGGAAAATATTTAGGAGTATCCTGTCTTCCGTAATCACTTATGAAGTCTGACACTTGATTGGTATCGGTTCGGTGTGGTTTTCGTCAGTGACCTAAGCTGTTAATTCACGATACCATTTGATGTATTACTCCATGAAACTATCCAATGGACTTTTGAACCTCGTTTCTCAATAATTCAGCAGACTCTCATGATGTATTTCTGCTTATATTCATATCAAGGCTATCCTAGGCGGTAATAAAAACTAGACATCCATTTTAAGGTGTGCAGAAATTGTTCTTGAGTGTCCTGATAATTCTTCACTTGACTAAAGCTAAGTAAGCAAATATCTATGTGATAAGGGGGGAAACTATATTATACAATACTTCTTTATCCTTTGTGCCTTCTAATCACACATTTTGTCAAGATTCTGTTGCTTTTATGAATTAAATGTTAGGGTAGAATCTAAATATCCTCCGAAAATATGTTTCAATTTACAGGGACTCACTCGTGATAGCTTATTATCTTTGTAACTAATATGGCTTCAAGTTAGTGATTGTTTTAGTTGCCATTTTTATCAACAACAAACGTAATGATGTTTAAAAGGCAATGCTAGATTTCTAACATATACTCTCTCGGCTTTTTAGCTTATTGGTTAACAATCCTTACAACCGATTACCCGAAATCAAGCGCAAAATGTTCATAAAGTCTCATTTTAGAATAAGGCTGACATTCATTCAAATGCTGCTAGTAAGTAACGAATTCTTATGAACAATTTTAGATTCGATGACTTGAAAAGTCATATGTATCCATCTTCAGAAAAAATTGTTTAGTATTTACCTAACTTTTCGTTGATACTAAACTTTTAGTACAAAACATCTACCCAGGATGTTACAAACAAAAACATATCAGCTGGTAAATAAATTATACTGCGGAAATAAACACACAATGCATGTCTATTTACAGGTTTGATCGGTTTGCATAGCGAGCAACATTACATTTAAAGAACAAATATTAATGGTCAAACTGTTCGTAACGATTTTACTGTTAGGTTATTTTGAGAGAAAAGTAGTCATAACGAGTATTGTATTGTTAGGTAGCAAATGGGAAACAAATCTACACTAGGACGACCGAGAAGTCATGTCGAAGTTTGACTGATATACCGAAGGGTATTTACACTGCGGCTACGGTGTAATTACAATAATCTACAATTCTAGGGAAAACGGGGACCGTGAAGATTGTACAACATCTAATGTATTTGTAATTTCACCAGTCGAATAGGATATAGTCACAGGTGTAAGTATTGCTAAAGCGATTTCAAATGAGAGACAATCATCGATGTAAGGAACAAATAGTAGCGTTGATTTTGTGTCACAGTTATCGCAAACTGTTCGGAATCACCGAAATTTTCCTTGAAAAGAAATTTGTAGGAAAATAAGATTAATAATGCATCAGTTTGACTTTTGATACACGGTTACGAATGTGACAACTAAGTGCTGATATCAAGAATATCCGAAAATCAACAGGTCACTTCTTGAAGCGTATTTCTTGTATGTACTCAGTTATGGCTTACGCAGTAATACTTCACTTTTATGAGGTTATACTCACTTACTTGGTTCAGATCATCTAAGATTTGGGAATTGTGTTTGAACCTTCATCGATCGGTCAATCTTCTTGTCCCGTCAAATACTACGTGACAAAATCACCAATCAGAATACCGACATCCATGACGTTGTCTCTGTGCTAGACCAGTGATGCGTCGACCAGCACTAGCAATGTTGAGTCAACTCTGAGCCTAATCGGTCCTCTGTCCGTCCAGTCCAGAACACAAATATCGGTCTGCGATATGTGAATCGTATATTTCAGATATACGTGGTTTTTATACAGGCAAACTAGACTGTATCACACCATAGAATGAAAAGTAATAATTATACGAGACCGATCCAAAAGTGGGTTTGTGTGTGGTATACTAAGACGAATAAACTGTGAATACGTTACCAATAGCCAATAGGTCAAATGGACGATTTTGATAAAACGGAATATGTATATTTACATAATCTAGTTACTTAATTATTACTCAATAGAAATATATTTAATGACAGTCCATGAACAATTCAGAGCAGTTATCATTCATCTATTATTCGTTCGTGTATAACATTTGTACATCGTGATATAAGAGTAAGAAATCGTAAGTAGATTTTTTTAGCCATTCCGAATAACTTGGATTTAGTGGAATAGTACTTCTATTTGCACAGGTCAGTTTTGTCCACGTACTAAGTGTGCCGACAACAATATCTGAATAGATTGCATATGACAAACATAAAATCTCACCACCACGTTACAGCTTAACTATGTAAAAACCAACTGAAATTTTTTATTTGAGTGTCATCTATCCTACAATTGTCGTATGACGGTTCACAAAGTTCAGGTTCACAAGCAGGAGAATCAAGTGTCTTGATTTTGTGAATGGTTTGACCTATTTATTTACGACAAGATTCCGTTTGATGAAAGTTTAGTACATTGTTAGGATGGACTTTCAAAAACGACTTCACATCATTCTCCTTAAAATCAATATCAGTCAAAACGATGACAGACGGTAGTATTGGCCAACAAAATTTGAGCGTTCTCAAGTTTCAAAATGTCGTGCTAACTACTAGATATCGGATATGTACATGAAGTATGTGCGCTTTCTTCGAAACCTAGTGTAAAATTGTTAGTTAATAGCATTTATAGGACTGAACTGGACACTTTCCCCTGTTGTGGCTTCATTCGCTGGATTTTGAGATCTGACTGTCTTTCAAATACCGATTCAGTTCTAATCACCAAAAATTATGATCAGCTGTGAGGTGAATAGGTGACTATTCATAATTTCTTAGATTGATTAGGTAGTAGATTAGTCTTTTATAAGCAAAGATGGATAGTGGCTAGCAGTGGATGCCAGGATGCGCATTTATTTCTATTTGAGACTCGTCAGCCTGATGCACCTGCGTCTCAGAGTTGATGTTCACTCTGGGACTCAAACCCAGCACCATTCGCTTCAAATGCCATCGCGTTATCAACTCAGCTAGGACGAAACGCGCGTTCTGGATTCCACTGCTAGCCACTATCCATCTTTGCCTTTAAAAGCTTGTGAATTAATGCAATATCTAGGCATAAGCGCAGTATGCACATATGCCAATAACAGAATGATCAACTGCAGTCTTAAACCTCATTGGGAAGATACAAGCGAAACAATACCAAGTGAAGTAGATTGGTTTATTTCCAAAACAAGTCAAGTTCATTCAACAATTAGAAGCAACTAGTTGACAAATGAGTAAGGTATTTAAAATATTCCTTCCCGGTGATTGTAGTTTGGTCGATTAAACATTTCAATACCTATGTGTATATGTTATTTTAGAAATTGATTGGCACCCAAGTTTTCTTTCATTTAAAAGTCAGAATTCTCAATATATCGGCCAAGACGGTTTTGTTATATGGAGGCAGAACTCTGAAAACTACTACAAACATCATCAAATGTGGACAAATACGTGGGTTATGTTACATCCAACTGTGTTTACCAGTTTACATGTACGCGCAAAAGGCAGATACATCGGAAGAAAAAAAGTATTCGTGTCTACATCTCTGAACATATTTCACAAAAGCTAACATTGACTGTACAGGACGTTTTGTTTGTCATTGATGTTGGAATTTCGAAATCTTTCAAAACAGTCAATAAACAAAAGGAACAAAAATTGTTTGGCATTTCCAAAGCTGTCGAAATAAAAAGATTGAAATCCAGTTTATGAAAACAACAATAAAACATTTCGAGGGACTGTTATTAGGTAACATCGATCTCAATTTATATTGGACTCTATCTAGGCTTCAGATCGACAATGGTCGTTTCAAAAGCCATCCAGTTCACAGATTATAATACCACTAAGAACAAGCATCTGAACTAAAAAATATTTTTTTATTGTTATAATACAATGTAAACATGATTTCTCGAGATAATTTCTTAGTATTTATTGATGACTTATTACCATGAAAGCATATGATTTCGCGTGGTTGTGGTAACACTAAAATATAATTATCAGATTTTTTATACTTTATCAGACACAAAATTTACTGTAAGGCTATCATAATGAACTTACACCAGCTACGAAAAATTAAAAAAGCTAACCAAGTAACCTTCTCTATTAGTCAATGATGGTAATATTTTTAACTTCAATGTTGACTTTTGATATGGAGAGCCGGTCAGGAGTAGCCTAATGAGAAGGTCATTGGGTGGCAATTAGAAGTGACCTAACGTACAAGTTCATTTCGGTGGCTAAGAAATCAACCAACTTCCTAAGGATTAGAGTAGTATATGTATGAATGAGTATTTGTGTATTTTATTCAGTAGCCCAATATACTTCCTCTCTCACTCTTGTGTTATCGCTCAAGTAGCTAGAGCGTAGCACGTCTATTAGTATCACATATGGACATCACCTGTCATAACAATTTTCATTATGGTGTACTCAAATCCTAGATAGTTATCATTGACTTGTATGAAAAAATCGATTCATTGGTTTGACTATTCTAGACTTTCTCAATATTGTTAGTCTGTTTACTTTTTGCTAGGCTTTGTAGTAAACCATTCAAGCCATAATTTTTCTATGATATTATAAACTTCAGAATCAGTGTTCAGATTTGGTATGTAATTTAATATTGACACACCAAAGTGGTGAATAACTTGTTTATTTATTTCTATCAATAAGTCAATGAAAGCTGAATCACTAAAATATACGCAGCGAATTTTCAACAAAACGCAAAACAATACGGGCTAAATCTCATTAACAATCTGTAAACTTTCATTTTACTAGTGAATGAAAATATTGAACCTTTGAGCAGAATAAAAATACACCGGCAATATAATGATGTATATTAACTTGTCTGTCAATAAATATATTCAATTTGTGTAAAACCCTTTTAAATATGCCTTAACAAAATGATATGTTTTCTCAATAGACTATTAGTACATACCATGAGTTTTCAAAATAAACCACCTAGCGAGAAATGTTTATTATAAATTAAATTTTCAGTTCTTGTATCTAGGTCACATATGTGTCAATATGTATGTCAACGCATTTTCGCACATATATATTACCACATGTGATATCTCAAAAATTACGTCCTGGAAATTCTATTTCTAAACGAGATTTACACCAATGTTGTTTAATAATGCATACAGAAAATTCTATTAATAAATATTTATTTAATTTGCTAACAAGCTGTTCGATAATATATATAATACCTCTAGAGTCATTTGTAAATCTTATCTAAACATAAATATTCCTGGCTTATTTCGCCAAAATTATTATTATTCGTTCACGAAAGTGTGAAATGCTATTCATTGACTAATGTTTAAATCATTATGTTTAGTGTGAATGAAATATATCTTTTACATTATCTTGTTATAAACTCGCATGATATGTTAAAATAATTCATTGATATACTAATATGAAAATCGTTCGGGGCGGCCAAACCAAAACGCGGCATCAGTGCTTCAAGTCGTTTATTTCTAGTCTTAGCCATGTTGGTAGATGAAGTCTAGTTGGTTGTGGTCGGCGCAACTATCGTAACCAATGGTTGGAGACTCTTGATGACATGGCTCACGATCGATCACAATGGCGTAGGTGTATACACTCTTTGTCTTCCCTTAAACTATGAGATTAAAATTATGTCACATCTTTCTTTTTACAAACTATTTCTTTCTGTGCTATATGCTTACATAAAATCCATCCTTTATATATTACACCATTGAGTCGATCGCTTCTATGAATCCGGTATTCTTCTTGCTGTGCTAATGAGGTGTGGCAACTTGGACCGGTGCACGTATGTGCCTGGTCCTATGTTGTAACTGACTAACTGACTGAGTATGAAAATCATTTTTCTCCTTGTTCATATAAAATTTTATTTGCTTTCAATGGGAAATATTAACTATGATAATTACAAATCCGTTTCATGTTCAAAAAATAGTTCTTAATCTTTTATATTTCACGTTTAATGAAATGAATGGTCTTTCTTTTGTCGCTATAACTTACAACTTAAATCTACATAACTGAAAGAATTAAATTCTGTTTCTACGTGATCATTAAAAAATATATTGTCGTTTTTTACTTCATTATATATTAACGGTCAATGGTGTAAAGATCAAATAGAATTGATGTGGCTTTTTTTTCTTCAGAAGTTACAGTTAACCAACCAAAACAGTTTTTGCTATATGGATTTTAATCAAATTAAAAAAATGTACAATTCACAGCCTATTGATAATTTATTACAGGCCAAAAATGTTTGTTCATTTACATATGAGCGCAAAATTTGTAATACAAGATAATCAATCACTTCTTTCCAAATTTTTCTAATAATAGCCAAAAACTTCTTATCAATAGAGGTCAGGAATCACAATAACTGTGCAATAATTAATGACCCATTACGTCTTTATTCCTTCACAAAAGATTTTCATTGTGCTCAGTCTATTTTTTTCAGATTTTAATCATCAGGCTAAGAGCAACCTCATTGGTTAAACAGAATACATGAAAAACAGGCAATACCAAATGAATTTAAACTTCACCTCACTGCACAGGCAAGTGGCTATCAGAACTCAGTAGCTAAGTGGATAAAATGACGGCGTTTGAAACAAACGGTACTGGGTTCGAGTCTCCGGGTGAACAATAACTCTCGGATATAGGTACATCGAGCTGAGTAGTCTCAAATAGGACGAAACGGGCATCCTGTATTCCACTGCTAGCCACCAAAAAATCTTTGCTTACAAAGTCTAAAGTAGTCTTTAAATTTCTTGTTTCAGCTACAAGTCATCTGGAGAACGAGTGTATTGCTACCATGATAATCAAGACAAATAGAGAACATTTAATGTTGAAAATCAGTATTCTCAGGGCTTAGTTTTTCATCATGTGTTTTTGGTTAATGGATGGTTCAAACATAATAGATGAACACTTGGCAATTTTTGATTTCGTAGATTTTCAGTTTGTTACAGATAATTGACATGGTTAATAATAATAAGATAAACTTTGAAAAGAGATGGTGTATTATGAATTTTGAACAAATAAAGTATGGTATAACTGTATTCTTTTTGTAGGTATTCTACCTTAAATTCAATGCATATTTAGTTTGTTTGCTATGATAGGATTATTACTTCGACCGAAGTTACCTAGTTTTTTCTTTGTTAGTAACATAATAAGTCTCTACTGACATGTGTTTTGATTATTGACTTAAAAATTAGGCTTCTTGAGATCGTTTCTTAAATGTATGAAATTGTAAGCAAAATAAAATATCACCTTTTAGATATACGATTCAATGTTCTAACGATCAACATCAAAGTGGTATATCTGTCTATATCTAATACGGTTCTACATCAGGATTACTTAAGGTGTAATCATCCTAATTTTTGAGGCTATGTACCTAACTTAGAATGATTGATAAAATGCACTTGATAGTTAATGTTCTCACAAATGAGGAATAACTCCTCCTGTAGCTCATCTAAGGTTATTGTTGGTCCGGAGTCCGGACAAACGAGAGATGGATATAGAGTTAGCAACTTTATCCATTAAAAAACGTTGATAAAAAAACGCTAACTAGGAGAAATTATTTAACCATTTTAACTCTGAACTGGTAGTTGAAAAATTGTCATTTAGAAGAAGTATGACGCCTCATATGGAAAGCCATGATTCTTCGTAAGCCATGAGGTCGATGCATTTTTGAACAACCAGAACAATTCTTAACATATGTAAATGGAATGTCCAGAAAATGTGACAGATCGAGAGGATCAATCAAATAGCTGTGCGAATGAAGAGATACAACATGATGGTGTTCGGAATAAATGAAAACTGTTAGAAGCTGGTCGTTGCCAAGATGAAGCTGAAACTTAAAAAACACCGGACAACTGGAGAAACAGCACTGCAAAGGTTTAATACAGACTTCTTTTGAGTTACTGACTATTGTGTATCGCGAGGTGGCTTATCTAATTTCTACCGATTGACCAGCTTCAGATATCTCAGTTCGACCCCAATACTGTTCCCAATCTCCAATATATCAGAACACGAACCGTAGATGAAAAATTGTTTATGGGGTCAGGAGCCGAATAATGATTTACAAACAAATGCATATTTATACAGTTAGGATTACTATAAATATTGACCAACAGAAAGATAACACGTGAAATAATATTGACCAATGGGGAAATGACACGCGAAATAAATATTGATTAGTAGGGAAACGACCAATAGGGAAATGACACCATTAACGTTCAAGGGTAGCATTAGACTTAACCAGATAATTGTTTTTGGGATATTTTTCTGAATATCCAAACACTTCTCCTTGGAAAAGTTAATAGCGACGTAATCGAGGATTTACTTGAAGTTTCTTCGGGTGTCTTCTTTTGCGATCCGACCTCCGAGGCAACCGCACAGAATCAGAAAGATGTTCTACTTGAGTAGATGACTCAGTCGTCTCTGTTGGAGGTATTGGCGGAAGTTGAATCGTGTTCAACAGCAAGTCGAGTGGAACGCTTTTTGTAATTGCTTCTTTCTCCTTCGCTTCCCTTGGCCTGACTTGATTGTGGTGCCTGATCCAGATTTCTTGGTTCACTTTGATATCATACATGACGCCCCCATGTTTCTTTGCGATTTCACCCTCTACCCATCTATCACATCCGTGTCTATAATCTCGCGCATACACTTTTGTACCAACTTCGTAGGGAATTCGAGTATTCTTCTTCTGGGGGTTTTGTTGCGCCACTTGCTTAGGTTTCATCGCACAATGAACTGTCCGTAGCTTTCGCCCCATAAGCATCTCAGCAGGGGATTTAGAGTTTGGCAATAAGTCGGGGGTCGTCCGGTACGCAACTAGGAATCGTTCTATGATATCTTCTGTGGTCCCCTCCCCTCGTGATTTAAGCATGGCTCGCTTAAATGTATCAACGAACCTTTCAGCTTGGCCATTAGATTGCGGGT